GCAGGATTCTGTAGGCAGCTTCCAGCTGAAAGTGGAGAGTAAGAGATGCTGAGGGAACCTGGGAACTATGGAGTTGAAGATAGAAGGCCTGTGTTCTGCTCCTATCACCCATGTCAGTGGCTCACAAACTCCTGAACCTCCAGCTTCAGGGGATCCAATGCCTCTGGCCTCTGTGGGCACCTGCACCCACGTGCATATACCTACACACACACACACACAAACATACACACACACACACAAATTAAAAGTAACAAACCTTTTTTAAAGGGGAAAATATTTAAGAACTCTAAAAGAAAGCCTTGCTGTTCTGCAGTAGATTGTGTGCTGAGAAGGTGGGCTTGTTTCTAAGTCATAGTAAACTAGAGGCCTGAATATCCTGTCATAGGGCAGGATATATATTTTCCTGAAAGTACAGATGAATTAGGCCTCCCATTACCCTGCAATGGCATAGCTAATCAGTGGCTCCAGTGAGCAGCTCAGCGAGTATGAGGTAAAGGAGAGTGAGTGCTTGATCCATAGGTACTAAATGAGCTCCAAGACTAAGACATGCATGACCTTCTGGCACTGCCCATCAGGTGGCCATGGAGGGTCAGTGTTACAACCTGGCCTGTGGGAGAACGCAGGGCCTCAGCCTCACCCCAGAGCTTCTGGAGGAGAAACTGTGTAGTGGGACATTCTCTGTGTCTCCTTCTGTGGCACTGACCACGCCCATTGGGGGGGTGGAGCCAGGGGCGGAAGTGACCTGTGGAAGGAGGTCTGAGGAGGAGCAGGGGAATACTCTCCTGCTGGTGGGTCTTGGAGAGGAGAGCATCCAGTGGAACTTGCTGGTGGTCATCTGTCTAGGTTGTAAGTTATTTCTCCCTGAATAAACATCTATTCGGCCTATTTGTTTATCCTGATCCTTATTTAACCACAATAAAACTGGATATTACTATCCTCAAAGGTGCGTGTACATGTTAAAGTCTGAGAAGTGAAGCCCCAGAAAGACACGTGTTCGTGACACACGCTTGACTAAGCTCATGCGTCCCCCGCCTCCCTTCTATCAAATCATCCAAATGCCTGATGATTCCCCACCACAAGAGCTACCTTTGGTTTTGGCCTCTCTCCAAAATATTTGAAGGAATACACTCTACACAGTTTCCCACAGGCCGAGCCCAGTACACCTGAATTAAATCCTCCATTGTCATACCTGATGATTGGAGCGGAGAAGCAACTGTATCAGCACGGGGAGAAAAAGCCGCCTTAGCAACGTTGATTACAATTGCTACTACCAGATGGACCTCATCACTTACTCTGTTACCATGTGGGGAAATCACAATTAAGGAAATCATTTAACGTGCAGCTGATCATTCTGTAAATGTTTACTCAGTTGCATGATTGGTAATCCCAAACTCTCTACAATTGTCAAGACTGCTCACAACAATGGTCAAGAGTCTCCGCAATTCTGCCTTCAAATCTCCAGGATAGGATGCAAATAGGTCCTGCTCAGAATGTGGAAAAGAGAGGGAGCTTTTCCCTCTTAGGTCCAGGCTGCAGCTTTTGTAAAAACGCAGTTCCCTTGGCGTTGCTGACTGGGGAAGGAAGGGTTTCCTGTGGCACTGTGCTTCACTAGTGTTTGTAAATCCATCTGAAAGCAGTGCTTTCTTTGAGAAGTGTTCCGAGTCGCCTTCCTCATGGCACTGATATTGGACTGCTCTTGTGGCTCTCCAGAGGGAGGACCCATCTGTTAGCGCAGGCTATACAGACTGACCACATGGCCAAAAAGGTCCCTCTGCCTCTTAGCAGCCGTGTAACTCTGGCTAAGTGACTTCCTTCCACAACTGTGACATGCATAAACCAATACCAAAGAGTTGTTGTGAAGAGTATATGAGACAACATATATAAAACATTAGTGACTGGCACTTAATAATCAAGGTTAGCTATTATTAGCACTTGACAGAGTCTGGCTTCCATTAGAATTGGTTTCGTATGTTCCCCCTTGCCTACTACATCATGTGCAAACTGTTTATATCCCAAGGAGCTGGCACAGGTACTTACAAATGGCAGACAAACAATATTTGCCAAATTGCTTTGAAGGTATGCCAGGAAGAGGAAAAAAGGGGTGCTGGGAACAAACAGTGTACATTATGATTTTACCCAGGGCCAGGCCCGGCCGTGTTTGCTTTTCTTTCATTACCAGAATATGCTGCCTTGGACAGCAAGGTCTCTCTAAAGTGGGACTAGAGATGCTTTGTTCAGAGACAGCAAAGGTATGCTTGGCGATATCGAAAACTCTCTACCTTGGTCCCTGGCCGAGTGGGAACAGAGACTGAAGTTCTTCCAGAGTTGTCTTGAACAAACTGAGTGCCTTGGCATGAAGTCACATCATCACTTAAGACCATCAACCTAGAGGTGGGGGCATTTGGTTTTTTAGAGTATCTGCCTAGAAAGATGTCTGTGGACTGCTTAGGAGTTGCATGCATCAGTACAGGGGAAGCCCTACTGCAAACTCAAAGGTCCCTTGTAAAACCCTTCAGACTCTTGAATGAACACCACCTACAACAATAATAGTTTATTAGATACTGATCGAGTGCCCACTAAGGAGCTCAAGGTGCTTGTGGCTGACAAGAACCTTCTAGTCTTGAACAAAAGCCTGAGGAGCACCACCCTCTACACAAAGCTATCATCTTCTCTGAAATGATGTCAACTTCAAGGACTTCTGGTGGCTTATGAGCACCAGGCTGATTTATAATGAGGACATCAGAGACCTGTTGTGGACCTCATGTGGTGAAGTTGCTAGCTGAGCCACAGGCCACTGACCATCTTGTAGCTCTAACTGAACCAATACCCAGGCTCAGGGTTCTTCTTGGAAGCCTCCCAGAACTACATCTTCTGAGGCTGCTGTGTGAGCCTAGCTACCTTCTGCTCTTCTCTCAGGACTAAGGCCTCTCTCCCACCACTCTGCCTGCCTGGACAACAAAGTGGCCTTTGTAGGCTGAAGAAGAGAAAGGTGCACTGGATATCATACACACACAATGAATATAGAAATTATCATTTCAGACTGGAAAGTGGCACAAAAATAAGGAAAATAAGTGGGCAGGATGATTGCCATCATAAACATTAAAGGTGAGGTGTTGTAGAAACATCCAAGACAGGTCCTGATCTAGGCCAAAGTGTGGGAGAGGCTTAAAGAGGAGAGCAATGCTCAAGAAAAATCTAGAAGCAAGAGCAACAGCTTATATTTAGTGAGCACACAGTCTACAATAGGAACTTCATAAATCTTTACACCATCCTTACAACCTCTGATGCAGGCATTACTCTCTTCATTTCACAGGTGAGAAGTCTGAGGCTCACAGTAAAAAAATGATGGGCGCTGGAATTCAGAGAGAGGTTGGCTCCAGGATAAAGAATAAAAGAGGCCAGATACCCCTTCAAGATGGAGGAACGTGCCTTGCAGGGGGCTGAGCAGGAAGGAAAATCAGTTCCCTAAGGAACTGAAAGTAGTTTGGTGAGAACTAGTTGCGGGTGGGGACACGTGTTCAGAAGAGAAACCAGAAGTAGAGGAATTCTCCTCAGATCTAGACATTGTGACAGCTAGACATTTGGCTCATGTGGTCTAACCCCTGCATACCCCCATCCTCCCTTTGGTAAAAGGCCATACATAATAACAATGTCTGCCTCTCCCCCACGAAGAAGGACCATTAACAACAACTGAGATTGGTGGTGCAAACTTGATTGCAAAACACAAATTCCGCCACAGACTAGATTTCATCACTGAGTCTTCCCAGTAATTTAGAGATTCACAAGCTAGAACCCAGTGATCCGGAATCTGTGATACCAGAGAGCCTTCCGAGCGGAAGACAGTGTAGAGGAGTAGAAAGTGCCCTGGCCCCTGTATCTATGCTCACCGCCTTCTATGCTCAGAATGTTTGCCTCCATCCACAATTGCCACGCCCTCAGTACAGGATCCCAAGGTGAGTTGCCCTCTTCGTTCCTCCGGGGAAACGGACATGATCAGGATAGCACTTAACCTTATATGGATGACTTGAGGGATTGGAAGCACGCATGGCAAAAGGGACACAGGTCCCAACACAGAGCAAAGACTGAGGAAACCCACACAGCTATCTTCTACTTTTAATTAGGAAGAAATCTGTTTGCTATCCTCCAGTCCCTCTGCATCCTATGTGACAGAAATCTGTGAGCATATTAGAAGGCGGAGATGAAGTAGGTTTGCGACCCTACATTCCGCCTTTGTTCCTGGCTCCCAAGGACTGGCAAGCAGCTGGCTCTCCGTCCTGGCAGAAAATGCCCAAAAGAGGTAAAAGGCAGAGCCTGCACACCATTTGTGCAAACCAGTCTGCCTTTGCAGTTTCCTAGACAAAATCTAATGTGGTCAGTCAGATATGACCTGTTGTTTTAAGAGGATCTCTTCCTTTTCCTCCTTCCAGCCCTCTCTCCTTCTCGGGGACAAGCACACTCCCCCACACAGCTCAAGAAGCTTGCAGCCTTTTTACAGCACGCACTCTAGGGTCCTGTTGTGACAGCCTCTTGCCACATTAACTTGCCTGTCCAACTCCCGGCAGAGAAGGAGCAGGAGCCTTCGCTAATGTCCTGGGAGGAAAGAACGCAGGAAATTCGAACAAAACAAATCTACACGCAGAACCCAGCATCTGCAAGCCAGGGACCCAAACCGAGCCTAGATGACTCCAGACTGTAGATGAAGCAGCTGCCTCTTTAGATACAAGAGGATTGAAAAACAGTCACTTGCCGCTTAAAAACAAAAAGAAGAAGAAACAGACTGCATACCAATTAATTATGAATATTCATCGACTCCAGCCTATTCAAGAGCCACCGGACTGTAGGACTGTAGCCCTGAGCGCGGCTTCCCAAAGCTCTGCCTCGCTCAGGAGCAGAGTGGGAAAGTTCATTCAGGCGCTTTGCCTTTGGCTCTTTTAAGTACTCGCCCTGGGTCTGGGCTTTTTTCCTCTGAAGAGTTTGGATCAAATCAGTTCTGGTCTTACCCTTTATATCTTCCATAAGGGGCAGCTTTTTGTTTTCTTCCTCTTTCCTCGTTTGTCTTGGGTGCTTTTTTGTTTTGTTTTGTTTTTGCTGCCTCTGCTTGCTGTGGTGCCTTTCTGTGAGAGAGGTACTCAGGATCAGAGATATAACAGACCCTAGGGCTTGTGGGAGGGGCTAAATTAGCCAGCCCGGTTTCGGAAGGAACCTCAAACCGTTGGTCTTTTTCATTGACTAGAAATACAGATTGGTAGAGGAGAAGGGCGGCCCATTTCCCTAGTTACTCGAAAGCTTCCTGGGGTTATAATGGGTTGTAATTTATTTTTCCTAGGCTTGAAGCAGTATGTGTTCAAAGATCACAGTCTCCTTCAAGTTCTTCTCCTTTTATATATACACACCACCCTCTCTTTTACAAAAAAAAAAAGAATCCATTTTTCTCCCTTTAAAAATCATTTTTACTGCAAGGGGGAAAAAACAACACACACACACACACACACATACATGCGCGCGCGCGCACACACATACACACCCACACAAAACCCCTGTGTTCAGCAATTACGATGCCAGACAGCAAGAAAACTATAGCCTTGCTATTCAACACCTGTGGAAGGCAAGAGCAGCTATCCTTGTCCCCATAAAGCTGATCACTTCCTATCCCATGATGAGCAACCCTTTCTCAGGATTTTTGGAGAAGTCAAGCAATGCGGGCAGCTTCAGGAGGAGCCACATTATTGTCTGGAAAGCCTCACAGAGTAAACTGCTCACCGGTTACCTCTGCCACCTTTCCCCAGCTTTGATTTCCTACCTCCAAAGTCCCTTACACACTGATAGCCACTCCCAGGCTTTGCCAGGTACCCAAATGCAGGCGTAGGGCTGACCAAATAAATTTTAACCTATCAATGTGTTTTGAAACGCAGACAAGGGCTGGCCCTCAGGGAGGAAGGTAAGTTCTCAAGTCCCAAAGCCATGTGGACACGTCTCTTTAAAAGGCTACTGCAAACCTTAGTTAGCATTTGAGGTTTGAGGGAGACCCCAAGCATACCATCAGTCCAAGATAACAGCGGGGAAACTCAGCCAGCTGCTCCTGTTCACACGCCACGGAGCCCGGAGCCCCCTCTCTTGTTTGCCATCATGCTCCCATCATCAGTTTCTCCCACAGTGCAGGTACTAGGTTAACACCCAGTGAGTGCCTGATTAGTGAATGAGCAGCAACAATGAAGGACTACAGGCGCAGCCTTCTGATTCCTGGTTCTTGGTTTTTGTTTTTGTTTTTTGTTTTTCTTTCCCCCTGTATTTCCTTTATAGCAGAGAATTCGTGTCTGAAGCTAATTATACCACAAGACATAGTTCTGAACAAAATCATTTCCTTTGTGACCACTGAAGATTGCTTTGAAGGAAATGCATTCTCTGCCACACTTTCAGTTGTATTGTAAAAGGGAAGGGCTAGCTTTGGTTTAAATGTCTGTTGCTTTGTACAGTGTGGTGCCACCACACAGCATGTGCTCAGTGAATTCTGGATACTTTGATAAATCCAGAGCTGCAGAACAGCACTTTCTGTGTCATACTAAATGGTGCAGAACTATAGGATTTTACATTTAGAGGATTAATTAATTATACTAAATATTTGCAAACATCAGCAATCTTTGTGACTTTGTGATTGCATGTGTGCTGCTACTACTGGGGGGTGTTAAAAAGGCCTACAAAATCATCTGTGTACTCCAGGATGGAAACTGAATTGCCAAAGCTGGGGGGGGGCATGATTAAGAGAAGGCCCAGAGTGAACAAAGGGTCAGGAATATACCCTCAACTGAGGCACTGTGGCCACAGTGCTCTATTTAAAACAAAATTAAAGCCAGGTAGGTGGTGGTGGCAGCACTCAGGAGGCAAAGGCAGGCAGATCTCTGGGAGTTCAAGGCCAGCCAGGTTTAAGGAGTGAGTTCCAGGGCAGTCAAGGCTACACAGAAGACACCCTGTCTCAAAAAAATCCAAAAACAAAATAAAATTTAAAAAAATGAAAACTCATGTTCCATTCAGATGCTGTCAACTCTAGGTTTCTTCAAAACCTGATTCCTTCTATTTCAGTCTCTTTAACTTCATCAGAAAAGGATAGGGCTGGACAGAAAAGAGAAATCTAATATCCAACTTCTGATTTAGCCAGGAGAGGCAGCAGTACTCCCTAAAAATGTGAAGTCTGGGACTGGTGAGACAGCTCAGTAGATAAAAGTGTTTGCTGCCAAGCCTGACAGCCTGAATTCTGTCCTCAGAGTCATCCCTGAAAGGAGAGAACAGACTCTCGCATTATTATCCTGTAACCTCAACACTTGCTCCCCAGGACCACATACACAGACCCTTCTCCGACCTTCCCCCACACAATTTGTCTACCTCAATTGAATATATAGTAATAGAAATAGCTTTGGCACCCAGCTCATCGTCCACAAGTCTTCTGACAGCAGTTAATGATTTTGATGGCAGGATGCTCTGTGTCGCCATTATATTGCTCAGCTCCTCCGTACCAGCAACATTATAGGTAAGCATGTGTTATCTCCCAGTCAGATGAGAGTAACTTACATAAGAGGTGGGGAGGATGCAAGTGTCTGCTTAAAGGCCTGAAAACTGCTTTAAAATTCAATCTTTCTTCTGGACAAATAATAATAATAATAATAATCATTATAATCGGGTTCCTTTTTTTTTTTTTTAAAGAAAGTAGAAAGTAAGAAAGGTACTCAAGAAAGATGGGAGTTGCTGAAGCTAAATATACCAGTCCTTCTTTTACTGACTAAGTACATTTTAATGCAAGTTCTTAGAAAAAAACTTCATTTTTCCTATACCTTCAATCTCCAACTTTATATCAGTTCCTCCCTTAGCGTCTAAAGTAGTTAAATAATTTTTACTCTTAAAGATCAATTCTGGCACTTAATGAACATAGAGGATTCAGTTTTGCAAGATGACAACACTCTGGAGATTAGTCGTTGAAGTGCAAATGTATTTAACAAGGCTTACCTATTAGCCAGAGATGGTCAGTAGCGTAAACTTTATGCTATATGTCTTTTTGCACAAGTTTGATTGTTTTTATTTATTTGGTTTATCTATTTAAACCTGTGCCTCTTCTCTGTTTCACAGACGGTGGCTTTGCCTTCCCCAAGTCAGTACTCCTTCCCAATTCCTTCGAGTGAACATTCCTGGAAAGAAGGTATGTCTGCAAAGACTGTGATCAATTAAAATTGCAGCCATGTGGCCAGCTGGGCTGTTACAGGTCCAGGGGCTAATTAGCTTATCTTGGGCTAGCTTTAGCTTCCTGAATAGCCACTCCTTTGCCTACCTGAGTGTCACAACTGACAACCTATGGCAAATAGGTAAAAGTCTTTTGAAATCTATTAACCTAGCAGACCACTAGCTTCCACCAACCCAAAAGCCAAGGATGCCATCAGCATCGTGGGTCTACAGAAGTCTCCATCTTGCTTTGACCACACCTCTGGTGTAACCACTAATGTGTTTTAAATTTGCCTTGATTTATGGCTTTCATTGTTTTGTAAAACTATAAAACTTCATAAAAACCTCTTCCCACAGCCCACATTTTCCTGTTGACCAAATATTATTGTTCTGTTCCTTTCTCAAATCTGTCTCCTCTCCATTTCTATAACCTCTGTCACAGTGCCCTCTCTCATCTTTGCCTGGACAACTGCAAGTCAGTGTCCCACTATCCCAAGTCGGGAACCAAAGAAGTTTGAAGTCTTTTAATATGTAAGTAAATGTAATGCACATCCAGTCGCTCTGGCCAACAAGGATGTCTGCTCTCTGTGAGCACTCTTAAAACGATGGGTCGGAAAACCCAATTCAAATGTGTCAGGTAGCATGATGTAAGCCACAGCCTCGGCAGCTATTTCCGCTTCTGGAAAGGAGCAGGAGAGCATCAGAAATCTGCTGCTCTTTCTCCTCTGAATCAGTTCTCATCAAATGCCTATGGAGAGCATGAAGCTGCCCCCAGATCTCAAAAGCCAGTTGCAGGGTTACTTCAGCCAGGAAAGCAATCCTGATAGTTTGTGTGCTGGGTGGAGCCCCTCCAGACACCCTCCCTACTCCACCTTCTGCCTACATCAGGAAGTCAGTTCCCGGGCTCCTCTTACCTCTTGGATTACCTTAAATTAGCTATGCTTCTCTCTCTCTCTCTCTCTCTCTCTCTCTCTCTCTCTCTCTCTCTCTCTCTCGATTGGGAGATGTCATTCTGTAAATATGTTTCGCTTATTGGTTAATTAATAAAGCATTGTTAGCCAATAGGAAAGCAAGATAGGCAGGATGAGGAGATGAGGAGGAGAGAGGAAGTGGTAGGGAGGAGATGCAAGATGGAGGACAGAGAGAGAAGAATGACAGCCCCTCTCTCTGGTAAGATGAGACCACGAGGAAATACTTAGAGTAATAGAAATGGGTTAAAATTTAAGACAGAGCTAGCTGGTAAGAAACTAGTGACTGGACAACAGCATTATATCAAATACAGAGTCTCTGTGTATTATTTGAGGTTGGCAAGGCAGTGGGACCAGGCTGGCAGGAAAAAAACCTACTCATAACTCCTCCCCCCCTCTGTTTCTCTGTTTTGCTTTGGAGCCTGTCCTGGAATTCACTCTGTAGACCAGGCTGGCCTCGAACTCGCAGAAATCAGCCTGCCTTTACCTCCCAAGTGTTGGGATTAAAGGCGTTCGCCACCATCGCCCAGCAAATTAGCAATGCTTCTTGTGTAAGACTTCTGCTCAAAGCCCCTGGTAAGGAGTTAGGTTTATCCTCCTGCCGCTGGTGTTGTCCTGCCGCCGCACCAGCCCCAATTAACACAGAGACTCTGTATTTGATATAAATCTGTTGGCCAAGTACTAGTTTCTTATCATCTAGCTCTGTCTTAATTATTAACCCATTTCTATTAATCTCCACGTGGTCTTATCTTACCAGAGAGAGAGCCCCGCCGGCTTTCTGCTCTCTCCATCTTTCATCTTGACTCCTCCTTCCTACTTCCGCTTTCCTCCTTGTCTCCTAGTTCCGCCTATCTTGCTTTCCTATTGGCCAACAGTGCTTTATTCATTAACCAGTATGAGAAACATATTTACAGAATGACATCTCCCATCATCTCTTCTTTTCTGTCTAAAATAAAAAGAAGGGGTTTAACCTTAGCATAGCAAAATATATCACATAA